GTTGCGGGGCCATGCTCCTATTTCAAAAGGAAAAAAAAAAAGATTGTGTGCGTGGAGATACTCATGGTGGTGTTAGCCACACCTGGCACAACCGGAAATGAGGCACACGTCCCGAGATTAGTGATTGAAGACAGTGAAGTCGCGTTCAAAGCCAGCAAAGGCACCAGGACACAGTCACAGAGCGTGTGGGAGATCCAGGAAGGGACGTGTCGCTTCGTGAGGGTTGTGGCCTGACGGTGGCTCCTTTCATTCTACCTCATGTGTTTGTGGCTCTGCATTTCTGCCACCCCGATTCATAGCCTAACTCTTCTCCCGCAGCTTGAATTCCACCCTCGCCCCCTCCCCCCAAGCAATTTCATGAGGCCACGGAGTCACACAAAGAGAGTTTGAGCTGCACACCTGGAGTGTTTCCACGAGGCAGCGTCCCGGCCTGACCACCGCCGTGGGGAGCCCCCAGGTGGCACTGAGACTGCTGACCAGCCGACCAGCGCCTGGGCTCGGAGAGGGGGCGCCTCCCTCGTCCCTCCCACGGAATGGAAGCTTTGTCCTTGCGCAGACTCTCCAGCTGCGGAAATGCTGGCACCGCTCTAAAGATTACTGGCATTTCTTGGCCACGGATGGAAAAGGCAAACTGGTCTACTACTCAGGGATTAGGTCTTAGACTAGGAGCTGCCAGTCCCAGGACTCTGCAGTGAGGTTATCTCCCGGGGAACGTTCAGGCTGTTTCCCGAAAGTCCTGTGGGGCGGCAGCCAGTGTTCTGTAGTTAGTGAGATTACATCCCTTCCGGCCGGGCCCCGAGTGGTGCTAAATTTCTTCTCTTCTCTCTCTCTCTCTCTCTCTCTCTCTCCAACATACACACCCTTGCATGAGACACACACACATACCAAATCAATATCGGACAGAAAGAATGGGCAGAGCTGGGAAGCAGACCAAGGAAACTTGAAGAACATTCTAGAACAGCCAGTGTCAGATCCGCCAGTGTCTGGGGCCAGAACATAAGCCATAATCACGCGCCCTTTCCTGTGTCTGGCTGGAAGTGCAGCACATGGAAGGAAATACCGAGGGAAATTAATGAGCTAACGAGGAGCTTAAATAGCAGCATGAATAATAAAGCAAAGTTCTATCAGGTTAAGAGAGGTTAAAGGGCAATATTAGTTAAATGGTCATCATGGGTTTTCTCCTACGAAGGCAAGGAACGGGGCTTTCAGAAAGGATGGCTTATTATAACTCCCTCCTCGGCCTTTGCTCTTTCTTCAAAGAGGTCTAGCTAAAGGTTTTTTTAAACTTTTGGCAGTCTCCCCCATCTTTAAAGAAGTCCTTACAGGGAACTCTGTCCGTTTGTTCAGGGCTTCTGCTGCCAACCAACAATTGAGGTATTGACTGAGGGCCTCCAAGAAAATGGCTGCACAGTACATGGAAGATTCTACCTGTAACAGGCGTTCCATGTATCAGCCACAGAAAGAAATGGAAAGTGTGGGAGGGTTTTTTTTTTTAAGATTTTATTTATTTTATTTTTAGGCAGAGGGGAAGGGAGGGACAAAGAGGGAGAGAAACATCACTGTGTGGTTGCCTCTCATGCGCCCCCTACTGTGGACCTAGCCCACAACCCAGGCATGTGCCCTGACTGGGAATCGAACCAGCAAACTTTTGGTTCCCCGGGCCGGTGCTCATACCACTGAGCCACACCAGCCAGGGCTGGTAGAGATAAGTTTTAATTTCATGTCACCGAGAATCACAGGCACGAAAACAGGATGTCAGATGACGTGTTTTTGAACAAGTTTCTCCACGTCAGTCTAAAATCGCTGAAGAGGAACTTTTAACAGGATGTACTGGAGAGACCCATTTAGAGATGAGGAAACAGGGCTGAGTGGGGATGCAGCTTGTCCCGATGGGACTTCCTTAGGGTAGAAGGAAGACCAGAACCCAGGCTCTGTGTCCCTGATGCAGCCCGGGACCCCTCTTAGGCAGGGTGTGTACCATTAGATCATTGACTCACTGGAGCCTGGGGTTTCCCTCACACGTCCATCTGATAATGGTTCAGGACACTCCTTTCTGAAATGGGCAAAATGGTCCATGACACCCTGAGCTTAACAGAGAGGGCTCCAACAACAGTGAAGTGGAGCAAGATTTCTTTCTTCAACTTCTTCCTCACCCTTCGCAATAAATTCAAGAGAGGGCAGCGTGGGCAGTGAGGAGTGGGTCCCGCCTCCAGGAGGCTGTGGGTAGGGGGTGCAGTGTGTATGCATTGGGGGTGGGGGTAGGGTCGGCATCTTCCTTGGTCACTATTGGCTATGTGGGGGCTAGTCCCCATCATCTGTCCCTTTGGGCCTCAGGCTGTCACTGAGTCCCTTGGTTCCAGGCACTTGCCTCTGATTGTGAAATCCTGACCGAGGACAGCTCTGCCCCCAGATCCTGGCCTCTTCTGGGGCCCTGGATGGGACACTTTGGGATCGCTGCCCAGGAGACCCACCTCACCTTGGCCCTCCCTCCAGCTGTTCCTTCCAGCTGTGCGGGCATTTTCCCCTCGCCCCAGGCTCCACTTGCTTTGCCCCAGCGTGAAGGCCCCTGGTGCCCCTGGCCCACTTTAACAGACCCCACCCTCCCCTGGTATGGCATTCCTCTGCTTTTCCTGTGCCATAGGCTCCTTGTCCCGGAGACTGGGTGCTCTAACCTTGGGGGTCCATCTCTCTGCACTACCAAGGGAACACTCCCACTGGCTCTGCAGGTGAGGCAGGTGAGGATGTTGCCCTACCTAGGACCTGAGGGACGACCAGACACTCGGAAACTGAGGAGGACACAACGGACTCCTCACAATGTTAGTTCCCATCATACACTTCTGTAATCCTCCTTGGGTTTTAGTCCAGAAGAAGAAGAAACACGGAGACGTTGAAAGCAGGTTAGAATAAGGAAATCACTAAAAATGTCACAAAATTGAACATCTGTATCTTGTCAGATATGTGCTTTATGGAAATCATGGTGAGTTATGGTGCGGTATTGCTGAATTTGGGGGATCTGGTGACTAGTCAGCATTTGTGGCTGATGGCCTTACTGAAAACCCATTTGGGTGGTTTTTGAGTCTATAATTCATCATTTTGTGTGTTCTGTATTTCTCCCATGACCACGACCAGGATCCTGTATTTACTGCATAATGAGTAATTTTAGACGTGGGTCGCCTCTTAGGGAGGACATCTGTGGTAAGGTGGGCGATGAACTATTTTTGCCATAACTCACAATTGTCAAAGAAAGTGGTACAATCCGAAGAATGACAAACAAGAGTGACCACTATTCAACTACAGACATGGAGTAGCTTCCAAAGTGAGCACTTTAAATCGTGTAATATTTCAATCAGTTGTATCGTATTAACAGTGAAGAAAGATCCAAGGATGATCCCAAGCAAGCTTATTTTCTGTCTCTGATGTCCCAGGAAAACATTTTGGTCTCCAGAAGTTTCATTTAAAAACCCCAATATATTGGCGACTAAGTAACAAGACTATTATTACAGGGTGGGGAAAAAGTCGATTCACAGTTGTTCCTACGGGGAGAAATGCAATAAATATTAATACAAGAATAAACTGTGTTTCACCTACTCACAACCGTAAGCCTACTTTTGCCCCACCCTGTATGAGGGTTTTTTTACTCCATACAGCTTTTGTTGCCTTGGCTCATTTTTACTTTACTTTTTTTTAAGAAATGCATAAAATTAAACATTCAAAACCTATCTTTAGAACTCCTGGATGCACCGTACTCAAAGGCTGACAAAGATTCACACAGAACGCAAATAAAAGTGGGACCTCACACCCGAGGATGCACAGCCCCTGCCGTCTCTTCCACGTCCTTGAAAAGCGAGTACTGTTTGCAGCTTGGACATCAAACACGTTCGCCTTTTTTAAGCTGAGAAACCAGGGACAGGGAACAAGGTAGCGGAATTCACGGTTCACCCCCCAGGCGTGCCCGCCTCCAACGGCTCCGGGGCTGCTGGTGCCTTACGTGCCCGCCCCGCCCGCAAGACGACGGCGCGGACAAAGGCGCAGTGTGCGCCCGACGGCGCGGGGCCGGGACGGCAGGTTTATCTGAGGTCAGTCTCTGCAGCTCGAGCCCGCCGTTCCCGGCGAGTCCGGGAACCAGGATGCCCCTTCTTCAAAACTCCCTCCTCGGAGCCGCGTTGGCCGCGCAGCCGGCAGGAGCTGGGCCGCCTGCAGAGCTTCTGCTGGGCGCGCTGACGGGGGCGTGGCCGCTGAGCGGGGGCGTGGCCGCGGGGCGGGGAACAGGCTGCCGGGCGCCCCGCTGCTGCGTCCCCGCCGGCGCCCAGCCCGGCCGCACGCCCCCTCCGCCCAGCGAGACCGCTGCCGACCGCGCGGGTGGGGCGCCGCGCGCGCCGGGAGGGGTGTTTTTTTTTGGTCAAACTTTGGCCACGTGAACCGCCCCCCATTCACTTTTGCACCAATCAGAGGGCGCGGACGGATCCCGAGAGGGGCCACGACGCCTCGCCGCCCGGCCGCTTCTTAAACGCGCCGTGCGTGACGTGAGGGGCTCCTGTTGCAATGGCGAGCTAAGCCGGAGGATGTGCAGCTGCAGCGGCGGCGCCGGGCACGAAGAGCACGGGGACGGGCGCCACGCGATCGCAGCCGAGCCGGCCGGGGGACGCGGACGGGGCGGGACAGCGGCGCGGACTCGGCTGCCACTGCAGTCACCGTTGCTCTGGCCCCGCGCCCCCGCGCGCGAGCGGGAGGAGCCGCCTCCGCCGCTGCCGCCTTGCGCCGGAGCCGCGGCCGGCGCGCGCCGGACATGGTCCCCTCTTAAAGGCGCAGGCCGCGGCGGGGGGCGTGCGGAACAAAGCGCCGGCGCGGGGCCTCCGGGCGGCTCGGGAGCCGCGATGGGCGCGGCGGGCCCGCGGCGGCCGCGGCGCTGCCGGGGCCGAGCCTCGCGGCGCTAGGGCTGGCTGGCCTCCGCGGGCGGGGGCAGCAAGCTGAGGGCGCGCGGAGCCTGCGGCAGCGGCGGCGGCCCGGCGGGCGGAGCGGCGCGGATATGGCCGCGCGCGGCCGGCGCGCCTGGCTCAGCGTGCTGCTTGGGCTCGTGCTGGGCTTCGTGCTGGCGTCGCGGCTCGTCCTGCCCCGCGCCTCCGAGCTGAAACGAGCGGGTCCGCGGCGCCGAGCCAGCCCCGAGGGCTGCCGGCCCGGGCAGGCGGCGGCGGCTTCCCAGGCCGGCGGGGCGCGGGGCGATGCGCGCGGGGCGCAGCTCTGGCCGCACGGCACAGCCCCGGATGGCGGCCCGCGCGACAAGAACTTTCTCTTCGTGGGAGTGATGACCGCCCAGAAATACCTGCAGACCCGGGCCGTGGCCGTCTACAGGTGAGCCCCCAGTCCGCGGGCACCCCCTCCTGCATTCAGCATTCTGGCGGGCGGCCCTGCAGATCCTCCTGAGGCTGAGCTCGTGCCCTTGCCTGACTCCCAGAACCCAGGCTGCCGGGATGCCCACCTCTCGGGCGATGCCAAGCTTTGCCAGCAGAGGTCAAAGGCAGGATGTTGAGCACCTCGCCCAAGAGCATGGGCTTTGGGGTCAGATGGACCAGGGTGTCCCCTCTGGGTGTGATCTTCACCCTGACTCTGTGAAAGGCACTTCAGCTTTTCAGAGCCAAACCGTCTCCTTTGTTAGACGGGCCTGACTGGGCGCGTCTACCTCTTGAGGGTGTTAGAAAAACTCTTACCTGTGACAGAGGTGGTGGTCATTCGATTCTCCGAAATCCGCCCGTGTGCCCTTGCAGAACTAGAGCCCCGTGTGAATTAACCTGGCGAGACCCCTTCCAATGGCCTGCGTGTGGATTTCACTGTTGGCGGCACTCCTGTTAATGGAAGGGGGTGCTCGGCGCGCACGGAGCCCACCAGTCTGTTCGGTAAATGGAAGGAGAGCCTTTGGGAAAAGCAGTCCCCCGCCCGGTGGTGGATCTGGTGTTCACTCGCCCCTCGTGGTGATGTTATCCAGCGTCTGGGCCCTAGTTGGCCAGATGAGTCATGAAAGTGGCTGGAATCATGTTCAGGATTAGCAAAGGGATTAGCCAAAGTCGCCTTCCGGAGGCAGCTGATTTGGGAACGGCAGCTCTGTGTCGGCCTGTGTTTGAGATAGGAGAGGGGTATGAGTTCTTGAAGGGATTTCAAGGAAACCTCCCGTGTGCGAAGGACTAAAATGCCGAGGAACAGTCTGGTGCTGGGAGGTCATCTGGGAACGAACTTTTCCAGCACTGAGTGCTGAGCAGGGCCAAGCTGCTGGCTGGTCGCTCTTCACTTCCAACCAATGCCTTTGTGACTTCAGCTTTTTCAGTCTAGCCCTGCTGTGAATGTCCAGGCATGAGAGGTTGTGAGGGGGAAAGCATCCATGGATCCCTGTAGAGGATTGAAAAAGGATAAAAGAGCCAGAGCAATGTCTGCCCTTTCAGGGCCTCGAGCCCTGTGAGTTTCCAGTAGGATCTTGTCTGAATTCAGAGCTCAGGTTCTGCCCCGAAGGGTCCTGAGAGACTGGAAAGCTTAGAATGCCAGCAGTGTCAATTTAGACTAAATTCGACGTTTGACAACCTGCCAGGTCAGGCCCCCCCACCCACCCGCGCACACACACACCACATCTACTGTGAATTACCCAGAATTTATGCAAATTGTGTTTTGTTTTTTCACAAGAGAAAGATCCACACCAGAGATTGAGGATGAGCTAACCTAAATTCTTTGCAGCGTGGTTTTAAAAGGAAGCCCACACGACTGCACTTTGGCGACAGACCCTGTGAATGTACAACATTGAGAACAATGATCAAAGCAGTTTGTCCTGATAGTAGATGGTGTCACTCCTTGCCCCCCTCCCCAGCCACACAAATACATTTTCGTGGATACAAAATCAGTGTACAGCAACCAGCAGGGTTCTGTTGTACCAGCAATACCCAGAAAGTGCAGTGCAGACGGAACCTAGTGTTTTACATTGGGGATGATCTTGTCCCAAAGCCCATGCTTGACCTCTCTTGGCCTCTGGCCAAGTCTCCAACCTCATCTCTTTGAGATGTATATTTTATCCCATTGTTTGTTGCCTTTGGGGCAGTTGGGAGAAAGTGAAAAGGCAATTTACACTTTGTTTCCTCTTCCTTTGTGACAGCTGCCTTTCTGATAAAGGGAAGCCCTTATGGGAAACATTGTATCCTATCTTACTTCTTTGTGGCAACTCTGCTTTTCTTTTTATTTTTTAAGTGTACTTTTGAAACAGGAAAACCCTTAGGGGGGAAACAGTGTATCCTATATAGTCATCCCAGGAGCTCTCCCACATACTTTTTTTTTTTTTTAATCTCTCAGATTTTAAGAAGTCACAGTTACCTACCCCGCCTGGTAAGGTCCTCTGCTTCTCAGCTGTCCACCCTGTGTTTAGACTGGCTGCAAGGAGATGGCACAGGATGATTTTAGCCCTAAGGAACTTTTAAGGCAGGCCTGAGTTGGGATGGAGGTTATAGGGTGTAACTTATGATTATGACTTTGCTGTGCTTTGCAGCCAGGGCCAGAAGTCCACGCTCAGCCCTTCAATTGGGCATCGCATGCCCAGTCCGGTATAAAAGGCAGCTTGAATCTTCTAGCACAAGGTACACCTCCAGCTGGATACCGGCACAGCCGTGTGCTTTCACGCTGGGGTATTGCAAATGTCAGCAGGGAGGCCTAGGGACCAGTGACTGAGATCACTCGCGGAGGAACTTAAAATAACCTTTGAAACATTCGAGGAGATAAGCCCGTCTGCACCGAGGCTGCTGTATTTGATGACGGGACAGCCCCCTCACTAGGGACTTTTACTTTTCAGACCCACCATATGCTTGAGGTAGGGAGAGGGGCCCCCCGAGAGGTAGCAATGCAGCGACCACAGAGAACAAGTGAGAAAGTGACTTTTAAAAAAACAGGCAAAGACAGAACTCAAAGTGTAGCAGTTCAGAGCCCACCCAGGGCTGACTTCTTTCACAGGCCCCAAGCAGGTGGCTGTTCAAGCCAGAGGCGTGATCCTGATTGGCCAGCATGTTCCGATATGCACCTGTAGCATTTGTGCCCATGCTCAGTGGGGACGGGACGTGCGGGGCTCCCCCGAATCCAGACTCTTGAGTGTTGGGGACGTTGAGCAGGGGGGTGCTTGTCGTCACGCAGAAGCTGCTATTCGGGCAGGAGGCACAGACGCTAAAAAGAGGGTTGCTGCTGGTCAGTGATGGGCACTGTGGAGAAAATAGAACAGGGTGAGGGCAGGGCCGGGTGGTGCCCTCTTTTCGGTGGTTGGGGAAGACCTCAGAGAATGGGGTGGGGCTGAGACCTGATGAGGAGGAACTGACCGTGAATGTCACTGACATGCGAGTCAGTGGGAGGCACTGGTAAATTAGAAGGCAGGGAGGAGGAGGACGGAGGCCTGGTGGTGTTCCGTCTCATGGAGTCTTTTTTTTTTTTTGAAAGATTTTATTTACTATTAGAGAAAGGGGAAGGGAGGGAGAGAAATATCAGTGTGGTTGCCTCTCACGCGCCCCCTGCTGGGGACCTGGCCCGCAACCCAGGCATGTGCCGTGAGTGGGAATCGAACTGGTGACCCTTTGGTTCTCAGGCCGGCACTCAGTCCACTGGGCCACACCAGCCAGGGCAAGTGGAATCTTATTCTGAGTGAATTAGAAAGCCCGCCGCGTATCAAGGCAGGAAAGGGAGGCTCTTGCATCAGGTTCTGAAAAGTTCCTTGTGCCTAGTGTGTGGGGGGTGGATTGTAGGGAAGCAAAGAAGCGTTAGGGGGTCCATCCAGGTGGAGGTCAGGGTGGCTGGGGCTAGTGTGGAAGCAGCGGAGAGAGCAGTGGTTGGTTCGTGGGTATATGCCGGATGGAGTGGGAGCAGTGCTCCTGAGGAGGAAGCAAAGAATTAGCTGTGACTTCTAGGACTTGACCTTAAAAGCAGGGTGGGTGGGTGGGTGGGTGTGTCATTTATTGAGACGGAGAAGATGAGAGGGTGAACAGATTTAGTGCAAGGGGGTGAGTCAACAGAGAGATGGTTTTGCACAGGATGAGCTTCAAGAAAGCTTTCAGACACACATGTGGGTGTGTCTTTAGCTCCATCCACGTACTGCGTTTAAAAGGAAGTTGGGAGGAGATGTGCTTCTGAAGTGGTGCGTGGCGGAGCCCTGAAGCCATCCTCAACGAAGATGTCTCGAAGGTGCTGGGCAGCGAGAGTTCCACAAATCAATACAGTGGTTTGTGTCGACGCATCTGCAGAGTGTTTGTGCTCTAGGTACAGACGGCACCGCTCTCTACGGTGCCATGGTTCCTCCCCAGTAATTTATTCTGCTGCAGTTCGTGTTTTCCCCATATTTTCCTTTTCCTTTTTTTATTATGTTGTTTGATACACAGAAGTTAAATCTTCATGTAGTTCAGTGTTTTCCTTTCTGATTTTAGAGGGGTTTTGGGGAGGTTGTTGTTTTGTGTATGTGTGTGGTGGTGGTATTGTTTTCTAAGCTCAGAAACTTAATGCCCAGGAGAAACTTTTTTCAAAGTAACATTTTGTTTTGTTTTTTCCTAATGCTAGAAAGGGTAGAAACACCTGACCCTCCCGTTTTCCCCAGCCTTGTCTCCACAGCATCTGGGGAAGAAGCCCCCACTTCCCTCCCAGGGCAGACACCCTCTCCCTCGCTCTCAGAACTCCTGGTTGAGTCTGTGGACTTCCTGTGCATCCCACCGGCCCTCCCGTCTGCCCCCCAGGCCAGTGTCGCCTGTTGGAACGGTGGCAGGTGGAAGAATGTTTCCACATCCGGTACACAAGTGTCCCTTTGTTACCCTTCTGCCACAGACATTTCTTGGCTACCCTGTACCTGTTCTTGCCGCGAGAGTTTGGATCCTATTTAGATTTTTTTCTTTTAATTCTTTGATTTTAAAAAAAGCACACATATTTAGCTGTTTAGTCCATTTTCATGCCCAGAGCGCAGCGCTAACCCGACACCTTGTATTTTGTCTGGGTTCTTAGCTGCCCTGGGCTGAAGATGGTGTACTGTTTTGTCCTTTCTGTGCTTTCTCAGAAGAAAGAGGGGGCCGGTTCCCCTTCTTTGCCCCGGGAGTGAGGAAGGGCACCACGGAAGATTGGCATCGGCCCGCAGGGAGTTGTGGGAAGAAAGTTTGAGAAACACTAGCCTCAGATAGTGGAGCCTTATCGCCAGATGCCAGAGCGCTTTAATGGCCTCTTCCTAATGCTTTCGGGGAAGGCAGCCCGTGCCTCTTACCAGCCCTCACGAGCACATCTTGAGAGTTCCTTTGCTTCTTTCTCGGCCTCAGGGAACCTGGTCGGTCCCAAAACGCCGTAGAGCAGCAGTACTTGCTGCCTCGGAG